CCCCCCCCCCCCCCCCCAAACCTCCCCGAATTTCTGTACAGACGAGAGAACAAGTCTTGAGAAAAACTCTGTTCGGTAGAATCTAAAGCTTCTATAAATAGAAAATATACTGCGCTGATAATAAAAATAAAAATATATTTGATTTAGAAGTAAACGCAGAGGAAACTACGCAGGATATATGTTTATGTATCGTCACCAGACTGCAGAGCAGAGTCGTAATAAAATGATAGCTAATAAAAACTTTCAATGTACCAAAGTTCGAATGACAACAAGAAATTAAATTTATCTATGTGCCGAGTTCTTAACGTAATTTCAAAGCGCCGAAATCATTATCTGAAGATTAAATACATCTTTTAGTTTGTATTCTAGTCGCCTATTCAAAAACGTAAAGTTAAGACAAAACACCCGATTTAACTTGTTCTTTTGTATAGATTTGAAGCTTTATCCACTCCCTTAGGTAAGAATGTACATTAAGGGCATCTACGAGCTCATACTAAGGAATACACTGTCGAGGATTTTGTTTGGACAGACCAAGGACAAAACAACGAGACATTGGCGAACAACGAGGAACTACGGACTCTGTACTCATCACTACTACTCATCACGTAACATCAATGAGGATTGCATGGATGTGAGAGAGAGTTTAGAAATTAATAAAATAAATCGTAGTTTTAATACTTGAGAGACCTCGACGTACATGAAAAGATAATACTAAAGTGGCTCATGACAGGCTCCAATAGTAGGATCTTGCAAACACAATAATGAAGTTTCACATTCCACACAATGCGAAGACAGAAATCTTCATGTATTTATTATCCTACTCTACGCCTTTGCTGTTTGGTCCCTTCTCCCGTTCTTTCGTACTCCCTTCTGTCATCCTGCCTTTCCTCTTTATCAGTCATTTAGTGTCCAGCGTCTTGGTAGAGCCTGTACTCTAGTGGATACATCCTAGTACACAAATCGTCACGGAACAGACTTCCTGTAGCTCAGAATGAAGCCGGGAAGGAAGAGTAAGAAACTGCAAAACAATACGACACATTAAACATAGGACACACATTAAACACGAGAATGGGCTCCAAAGCCAGCCAACACGAACGAAAACAAATGAATCAAAGAGAAATCATAAATTTCCCAAATTTCTTTCATTCTGACAAAGCAAGCAGCAGCTTCGTATTTTTCTCATTGTTTCTGAACATGGTGGCGTTTTCTTTGTTGTCGCCATGCGACATTGTTACCTCAACTGACAAGTAGTTCAATTCATTGATCTCTCCCCTCTCCCCATTTTCATAACAGGTGGACAAAAAACAAGAGCAAGGATCTAGAGGTGAGGTCCATCTCAGCGCCTGTGCCGTTTTTAGCTCCGTCGCGAGTTCGTATCTCCTTGGATGCTGTGTTCTGTGCTTCCATCATCGCTTAGTGTGGTCAAACTACGTACTAGCTTAGGTCTTTAGCAAAAGAGGTCGAGATTGTAATATCAAGAAACGGCTGTAATAGGACTCATTGAATTCTTTATTTAGAGGGGGGGGGGCTGGAATTAGCAGTCGTAGCAAATTCTAGTAACTTGCCAGAATGAACTGGGAAAAACAACGAAAATCTGAGGTTAGACTTTTATGGGCCGACATTCGAACACAGGGACTCCCCATACAAGAATTATTGCCAACCACATGCTTCAGTATGGTGCTCGTATGAATTAATAAGTATGTGCAAAACCAAATATTAAATTTGTATTTTAATCATGGTATTAGCAATTGTTTTCAGGGTACTACAAAATATATATTGCTAATGCGGTTCAATAGGCCTGCACAATTTATGCATCTGTGCAAATCATGTGAGTATATGTGAATGGGTGTATGTACGTATACACACACATAGCGTTCATCCCTTTCAGACTTGAGCAATCAATTGTTAATAACTTAATTTGTCCATAATGTTTTCGTGAACAGCAAGTCCACATACATACACGTCCACAGACGGATAGTTATGCATCAGGAAATTACAGGCTTGACCGATGCGCGCTTTAACCCATTTGACCCAGATACCCGAGTGCTCAACATGTCATTACGTACCTAGTCTTTAATCTATCTCGTATTCCCGAGCAACGCAAACACATCTGAATTTAAATACACAACATTAAAAAGCATCTCGAATTATAATATTTTCCAAATGTGTCGCACGTATTTTTTATAAAATCTCGTAATGTTCCACAGACCTTAGAGTACAGTTTATCTTAAGTACAATTTTCAAGTCACACACATTCACACACGATATATATCGTGCGTCTATCAAAACACCAGCACCATTCCTCTGTTTTACTTGTCAATCCGGGTCGGTCCCATCATTGGCACGTCTCTCAATATTACCTTCATTCCATCTAGGGAGAGGGCGCTTGTCGATAAACCATCCTTCAAAGTGGAAGAATAGGAAGAGAAGGGAGAAAGAGTGAGTCGCTAAAATATGAAATCGCATGGGCTATTTTCAAAAGGATCAGAGTAAGATAGGTGAGATGTATGTATACTCCCAAAAGCTTTTATTTCTACTAATAAATCATTATAATATGCAATATAATTTAAGAAGGGGGAGGTTTTGAAATAGGTTCTACGCTCTACCCCTCTTCTATTCCAGCAGATGGTCTTTATTTCATTGGCTGGTTTTATGTAATAAATCTGACACTCTGTATGTACCACCGCCCCCTTTTTGCAATGTCTTTGAATCACAGTGGTAAAAGAGACAGAGTTAACGTGAAGGATAGAGAAAGACGAAGACAGAGAGAGTCAGATCTGTATACAACAGTCGAAAATAAAATAAAAAATAGTATAGGTACCTATACATACTGTGTACCGTCATCATCCATCACAGACTCCCTCTTGCCTGCTGGCTATTGTTCTTCAATGACTGCAGAGCTAGCTGGCACTGTGGCCGAGTGATTTAGTGATTTCTGCAGACCTTCATTCCTAGCCCTATTGTCGTGGCAGTCCAGTCATCCTGCCTCATACATACGCCACTTCCATAAAGCCGTCCGTTTGATTCACACAATATTTTAGAAAATAAGACTGGCCTAAGTGACAACATTGCATTTCTAATCATTTTTTTTTTAATTTTGATCGTATTCCAAATATTACAAGTTCAAATCACTGCCCGGAAACCGGGTATTATAAATTATGTTTTTTTATGGTCAGACGTATACCTTGGCATACAGTGCACCGGGCACATGTACCAAGAAAACGTACAACAAAAAAGATAAGTAGGATTTCAGGTTCTCAGTGAGGCGTTTATGAATATGGGTCTTTTGGGTTGCTGTGCCGTGTAGTCTGGTAGACTTTACCGATGTTTCAGAGGTGCTTGTCGCCTCCATCATCAGGTCGATTAGTCACGTTAATGATAGAGGCAGTAAACATCTCTGAAACGTCACACGGCACAACGACCCAGAAGAAATCCATCAACATTTGTGGGACCTAAGCGTTGTTGAAAGTACAAGAGTAACAAATTTTCTCAGAAAAAGTGACTGAAATCAATTCCAGTGACTCAATATTGGGCCAATATTTGACTTCTGTAAACATTCCAATGTACTTTCGTTTTCCGTTAGCCCGCCGCTATTTTCGCTGCTTAGCAACTATCAGCGTTCAACGATCTTTCTAATCGTACAGTCAAATGTGTAAGAACAATATCACCTACTAAAATGTGTAATGTTTGTAACAGTCACCGAAATTTTAAACGATTCAAATAGCAAGAATGTACTATTTTTAGTCACTGGTGGGTCGCGTGTCGATATTCGTACCTGTCAAAAACCTCTTATGAGACAATGTGTTATTATCACGACACTCATCAATTTTGATACCGACACCAGTAGTAATGAATGCGTTCGTGATGGGGATAGCTGTAAACTGGATACAAAATTTTGTTGGTTAAATTGCGGTCTCCTTAAAAAATAAATGAATAGGCTATATTACAAGTCAGGAACTCAGTTCAAATGAATACAGCCAATAGCAGGCTTCAGTCGCCGAATACGCATCAGTAACGTCGTCTCTGACTTAAGTCACTTTATTTCTAAAGTTGGCACACGAAATCCGGTCTCCTCTTGCTGCTTATGCCAGTCTGAAACTACTGCGGAAACCTGAAGCTATAAATTTCTTGTAAATCCGGAATCCATCCCAAATAGAGTTTTAGATGGGAAATAGGATAATTCCGATAGTTGTACTGTGACTTCAGACCATGGGTAAGAACAACAAATGTCTGGACTAGTGTTGCTTTCTGTTAGGTTAAGGTTAATGGGTTTGAAGTAGGTTCAACCGCACTTGCAGCTGTTTCCCTCTGTCAGAAAATTAACCAAATCGACAGAACTGAACTTAAAATTACCTTAATAAAAATTGCTCTAAAATTTTTAACGAATATGTATCTTTAAACTCACGCATAATCTGCAACATTTTACTTCATATATCAGTTATTAAAAATACCATACAGTCTTCAGTTCTCTTTCTTTGCGTTTCTACGTATTTGCTGGCCGACAGCCAGTAACATGGAGAGCAACAAGCGAATAAAAAAGGCAAATGAGTGCGGGCCCATCAACCCAGGGTCACCTCTGTTTATGTTCCTATTACGCAACGGGATTATGTCACCCCGAA